AAAATAGGAAAGGGCAGACCCCCTGGGGTGGGGGAGGGTTAGCCCCCCCCACCCCTTTCCTTAAAAATCCCTGGGGGGGGGGGGGGGGGGGTCCCCCCATCCCCCCCCGGGGGGGGCGGTTTTCTTTTTTTTTTTGGGGGGGGGGGAAAAAAATGGGCCCGGGGGGGGGGAAAAATCGGGATTTTGCCCTTAAAGGGGGGGGGAGTTGAAGGCCCGCATTTCCCCTTTCTCCCCCTCCATTGGGTCCGGAAAAATTTTTTCCCTTCCCTTTCCTAAAACCTGGGGGGCCCGCGGGGTCCAAAAAAAAAAAAGGAAAGGCCCCCCCCCCCCCGGGCCCCCCCCCCCCCCCACAAGGTTGGGCCCGTGGCTCGCAGAAGCTCTCTTTAACTGTAATCTGTATTCCCGTTCAAGCAGAGAAAGGGGCGGGAGAGAGCGACGCGACGAGCGCAGGCGGCGAGCGTGCACGTCGCCTGTGCGGCGTGTCTTGTTCACTCCCCTTTGAGCTTACCGTGTGCCCCCTAGGGCGGGCACTCCCTGCGCCTCCTGCGCTGCGCGTATGGCGGACCCCTCCTTCCGCGCCCTGTTGGCTGTTGTTTGGGATGCCTCGCTCCGAGAAAGCATGTCTCGCAGCTGCGAGAGAAGAAACAGTTAGAGGCTGCGCAGGCCGTCCCGTTTGCATGTGTTTGCCCATAACCTGCTTCGCCGTCAGGCAGCGGAGTTTCTTTTTTTCTCGACGTTTTCCGCAGGAATCTCCTCGCCTCCATGCTCAGGTATCTCTGCTTCCTGCTCGCCGCCGCCTCGCCGCTGGCGTCCGCGCTCCGCGTGGCTCCCGTCGTCGCTGCGCCGGCGGCGCGCGCGAGCCGCAGCTCCCCAGTCAGCATGGGCTGGGAGTGGATCACCGAGGCGGGCGGTCCGCAGGGCGACAAGTTCAAGAAGGCGCGTTGCGCCTTCGCTGCATCCGCTCGCGTCGCCTCCTTGCAGCCGCTCATCGCCTCACCCCGCTCCGCCGCTCCGCGCCCCGTCCCGCCAGGGCACCGACTACATGTTCTTCCAGGGGCCGACCCCCAAGACGGGCGTGCAAGATGACCTGCCAAACCTCTTCTCCAAGGAGAACTTTGAGGAGTTTGAGATCACGCCACTGATGATTGCCGCCGCCGTGACGGGCGGCGGCTCGCTCGCCGTCGTTGCCAGCGTCGTGCTGGCCTAGGCCGTCTCTCCCTTTTCGCAAAATGTGTGTGTGTGTGTGTGTGGTACACCCCTTGTCGCGCCGAGTGCGATACATCTCGTGATTTGGGACCCTTTCTCATGTAGATGCGTGTATGCGCGGAAATTCCCACACGGAGGGTGCGCTGTGGGCCCGCGCCCGCCGCCGCCCGTGCGCCGTGCCCGTGGGGGCCCCCGCCGCCCTGTCGGCCGCAACGGGACGGACCCCCGACAAAACAACCTGAATATAACCTCGTCAGGCGTCCGACGGCGGCAGCGCTCTGTGCCGGCGGAAGGCGGTTCCCCCGACGAGGATCGCCCTCCCCCCGGCCCACTGGCTCGGCCTAGAGAACGGTTCCGAGCTCGGGTTCTGCGAGGGTGAGAGAATGAGCCGCCCTCGGCGCCCGGGCGTCGCCTCGCGAGCGTGGCGTGGCAGACCTCGCAGCAGGCGTGGACCTGCAGTGGACGGCAGGCCGCTGCTAGGAAGCTGCTAGGAACCTTCCTAGGGGTGCGTCTCTCAACGAGGTGCGTGCGTGGTGGGCACAAAAGGGCGGGAGACGGCGCGTGGATGCAGAGGTGATGGCTGGTGGCGCAGCAAGTCCGGCAGTCGGGCCTGCGCGTGGCTGCAGAGGCATATCCCCCCACATCTCCCCACATCTCCCCACATCTCCCCATATGTCGGGCCTGCGCGTGGCTGCAGAGGCGGCTGATGGCGCGGCAGCTCTCGACGTGGCAGCGTACGTCCATCTCGAAGACTTCGAGCTGATCCTACTCCACCATGTCCGCACCGCGTACGCACTCGGCTGCCCGTGTGCGGGACGACCTCGAAACCTCGAGAGGTGTCAGGGCGGTTCCTCCGCCCCCCACTCCTCATCGTCCTCCTCCTCTCCTTGCCGCTGCCCTTCGCGCCCTCGCCGCCCTCGCCGCCCTGCCCACCCGGCCCGGAGAAGGGACTGGCCAGCGAAC